GGGGGGCAGCCGTGTTTGCGCCCCGCCAGGCCTGAGGGGGCCGGGGCGCTTCGCGTCGGGGCTTAAAGCGTCCCAGGGATCTGGTTCGTCCGCCTCCACGTGCAGTTTGGGGGGGAAATCTGTAACGAGGAGCAGGCCGGGCTTACTTGCTCACCGGCTTCGTGGTCAGGAACACGGTAAGTCGGTGTCGCCTGCCGTCCCCAGGTTTGCCGTCGCGTCGGTTGGTTTGTTTCTTGGACCTTAAAAAAAGGAAAAGTCCCCCCTCTCTTGTCGAGATTATGGATCGCGCAGGCGTTCGGGTGGCCGCAAGATCGTCGGGTCCCCGAGGGGCAGGAAGTCGGCTGGGCTCGAAGGATCGGACGAGCTAATCGGTGGAGCCTAAAATCGGTGACGTCTGCGATCCCGGCGAGACGAGCGTCCAGGCGTTTCTTGGACGTGTCCGGAGTAGGTGCTTGCACCACGTCCGCGGGCAGACTCGGACAGTGAAGACGTTTGTCCTTACGTCCGGCCTAAAAATGGTCTTGCAGGGGTTGGCGAGCGTCCCCGTGGCGAGCAGGCATCCCCCAGCTCCTTGTTGTGTATCGATTAATACCAACGACATCGAGTAAATGCACAAAGCGACTTGTTTTCCAGCGAGCCGTGTCGTATGTTGCTAGCGCCATGCTTGTAGGTGGGCCGTTTTCAATGCTCTGTTTTAAATGTGAGGATGCTCGTTTTAGTATAATCCTTTTTTCTTTTTTTTTTTTTTTTTTGGTGGCTAAGCCTTAAAGACCCGGGTCTAGAAACGGCTTACGAATCGTCAAGAGACAAGGTTTTTGTGGGGTCGTCATCCAAATTCTGGCATCGCTCCTTCTGGGTCTACCCAGGGGCTCCCGTAAAAAATTGCTCTGTGGCTAGAGCATTATGTCTTGTTTCTCCAAGTGGGAAACCCTCCCTCCACATAAATGTTGGGCTGTTACTTGGAGATAAGGAAAAGTACTCCGTTGTGATTTGTGCCGTCTGCTTTTTGCTCAAAGGTTGTCTGTATCTTGGCTGTGTCCTTGGGGTGGAAACCGTTGTGCTGCCTCTTCTGCAGCGTTCTTGCGCTCACTTTTTTTTTGCAGCATGTTCCCAAAGGTGCTGGTTGTTTCATTGTTTCCTGGGGTTTGTTCTCTTTCCTCCCCCCACTTCATTGCAGCCATCGACTGTCTCTTCTCTTGTTCTTAAATCATAATGCCCTCAGTAGAGGAACTGTCTTTCTTTAAGGAGGGAAAGGGTTGCTTATTATGAAGCACTGGACTAGGACTGGAAAACCTGGGTACTATTCCTGGTTCTGCCTCTTGTCTGTTGGGTGGCCTTGGGCAAGTCCCGTCACCCCCCTGCCTCTGTTTCCCCATCTGTAAAAAGGAGATGATGCCAGTGACCTCCTTTGAGATCTGTTGATAAAAAGTACTGTGCGTGATTTGAGTAGTGGCATTTTTATTATTTTATACATGTCAGAGCAGGGCCCTGAGCTCTAAGCACGGCTCTTACACCCATCTGTTACATATTGAAGGAAGATTCTTCACTAGCTTCCTGGCTTGTATTTCCAGGACTCCTTCTCACATTGCATATGCTTTTCACAGATTTCCAGGAAGCTGTAGGTCAGCTTTCATTTGAGTTTCTTCCCAGTTGCTGTCTATTGGATGTACAGTCTCCTGAAGTATCCATTATTCAAATAACATGTATAAGACTTTAACAGCCTTTGCCTGTAGAAAAGGGACTTTCCTGTTGAGGTTTTTGCTGGAGTTTTGGGAATGTTTTTCCTTAAAACCGTCCCATGTCTGCAGTATAACATCATTAGAATTAACCAAATTAGTGCACTACATTTATACAAAACTCATACTTGAATCCCTTTTAATGTTGTCATTCAGTATTGAAAACTATCCCGGTAAGACCAGTAGCAGATTTGACTTGGGAGAGACTTTGAGATCTTTAAAAATTGATCAGCCTCTTCAGATATTTCAAAATCCAGTAGTTGGAATCCTCAGGCAGGACGCTTTGTACCTGAACGCTTGTCTAATATCTTTCCCAACTATATGGTTGGTTCAGTAAAAGATGTTACCAAAGAAACCTTGCTTCTTGCATATACCCTGAACCTGTCACAGCCACAACAAAACTCCTACCATAATGCAGAAATGAGTTTGAAAGATTGGTTCTTTGGAGCAGATGTGTTCTGCACAGTGCTTGGATTTCAGAGTCCGTTCATTTAGACTAAGATCCTCAAGGAAGTTTTTTCTTTTTTTGTAAATGGTCATCCCTACCTACAGTATTATAAAAATAACAAATTATTTGTCTTAAGCATCAGTAGGCCCAAGTCCTCTGGACAGTGCCGATCACTGCAGCGAATTCCCTACTTCCAGCTTTCCGTGTTCCATGAAAAACTTTTCCTTCGTCCCGAAACTATGTAGTTGGCTTCCTCCAAACAAATGTTTTATTGTTGTTGGAAGTAGTTGTGGCTGGGGTGTTAAAAGGAGAAACGCTAGTAAATTTTCCCTACTCAGTATGCAAATCATTCTTTGGCTGAAAACTTGTGGCTTGAGGTTGTTAATTAGAACTGTTTTTCACCCTTGAGAGTAAAGGTCTTACTGAATGCTGAATAGGTAGAAACCGCTGTCTTTTAAAAATATTATCAGAAATATCTTCCGCAGAAAGCAGTATGTTTTCTAGACTGATAATCTGCTTTAGCAAAGCAGAGACCTCTAGAATTTGTTGCATGTCACTGGGTAGTATATTGTGCTTCCTTATCCTGTGGAGGATGCAAGTGCCACAAATCAAATACACAATAATGGTTGTTTGCTTGTTAAAATAGTTTGCTGTCTCTTTTCATTATTGACAGTTGTTAGATAAGCGCTTTTAAGTGCTATCTGAAATTAGAGATACAGTCAACTTAAAAGTCATTTTTCTGGCTAAAAATACAAAGGTAACACCCAACAAGAGCAAAAACGCCTTGCTATATTTTTTTCAGTGAACTCTTGAGCATTTCAGATTGACTTTGTTCTTATTCCATTTAACTGTTTAGTTAGAGTTAGTTTGTCTGTGTTGCAGCAAGTCTTTCATACAGCAACAGGACAGTGTGTTTCAAAATAAGAAATGATGTCTTGAAAACTAAAGGAATTTACTTGGGGTTTTCTGGAGTGCCAGAAATTACTTTTAGTGTTTTTGCATTTGACTCAATTTCAGTGTGATGGTTTCCTATTAACAAAGTGGCACGTTGTAGCTGAACAGAAGTGCAAACTGCATGTTTTTGCTCTATAAGAGTAGAACTGATTTTTACCACTTCTTTCATATCCCCTTGTTTTGTGCATTTTGTTAGGACTCAAAAAAGGGTGCACGGCGCTACCTGTGTGTCTATAAACTGTCTTACATTTTTGGAAGGTTCCAGTTGTGTGTCAGTTTGAGGAAAGCGGTGTCAGATTTGACCAATTCTTAGTTTCTCCTTTGAAGGTGCCGTTTCACACATCTTACTTATTGTTCCCCTCTCATCAGTTTTCTCGTTGCCGAGCCTGATCTTGCAACTTTACTGAAGTGAGTTCTGTTGACTTCAGTGCAATTTCCCCAGATGAGTAAGGATTGCGAGAGCAGGCCTCTAGACTTCACACTTACTGACTTTTTACCCTCTGCGTGTACGTCAGGCTGCAAGAGCTGTGGTTGATCTCAGTAGGGAAAAATCAGTGACTCACGTTTCCACAGAGAGAAATGTAATTTCCAGTCTCATAGCAACTGCCCTTGCAACTGTTTCAAACCTTGTGTGACAAAACATGTAATGCTTACAGATCATCTTTTAATGCCTCCATCCAGTCTGCCTGCTCACCCCATCCAAACATATGCATTTTACATTACACCAAAGCTGCTGATTTACAGCTTTTACATTAAAATTATGTTGGATGGTTAAGTATAAACAGTGAAAAATCTGAGGAGGGTGCCCTTGACTTCTGAATATACAGATCTGGTTAATTTTTTTTTATGATCTTAAAAGTATTACATTTTGTATACTGAATATGCTCTTACACTTGGAGAACAATGCTGAATGTTTTATGACAGTTTTCAATGATAGTTCAGTAAATAGATTGTAAAATCTAGTGTCTGCTTTCTGCTGCTTTGCATCCAGAGATGCAAAGGAATTAAAAGGTAGGCGCATAATCTTCCTTTCACTTAATGGATAGATCTGAACTGGTGCTGAAAAAGTTGAACTGCAGAAAGGTTAAGGCTTCAAACCTAGGTTACGGCTTCAGAGGCTTAGCACAGCACTGAGAGGCAGCATCATGGGGTGGTATTCTGGCTTTTCCACTGATTCAGTCTGTGGGTTTGGGCAGCTTGCTAACATGTCTGTTTTTTGTTTTCCCCATATGTAAAAGGGGAGGAAAACACCTAAGTATGTCAAAGGAGGATTGTGAGGCTTCATGAAAAGTGCTTCCTTATCTTCTGGTGGAAGCTGCTGTAGAAGTATTAAGCAGCAGTATTAATTATGGCTGGGACTTTCAGTTAAGCTTGACGGAGTGAAGCATCCCAATCCTATTGAAAGTTAATGGAGGTAGGGGACCTCACTCCCTTTGAAACTTCCAACTTATATTTTATCCATAACTGAATTGATTCCTTATTTTTTTCTTGTAGTTGATATGGAAGAAGTGCACAAGAGCAGCAGTAACAGTTCAGCGACACCTCCACAAACCACTGTACAAGGTACAACACTACAGGCAACTCACCTCTCTCACGTTGCTCAACAGGTAAAGCATGGGCCAGGCTACAGCAAATATTTCTTAAGAATTAGGTTAAGAGCAATCTTTTGTTTTTAAGCTAAATGGTTTGATAGGGGGCTTTTTTTCTTTACATACTCAGGGAGGAAGAAGACAAGCAAGTAGAATTGTGAGAAACATGCCGTTCATTTTTTTTAATAGACTCCACAGAATGAATATCCTTGTGCATATACCTTATACCATTTCAGTGCTGAAAATTTGTAGCCATTTTTTCTTGTTAGATTTTAGATATTCAGAAATGTTCACCCAGCCAGTCACTGAGGTAGCTCAGCAATATGCAGAGGGCATTTGCAGCTCCCGTGGACATCAGCCAGAGATATGGGCACACAGAACATCTGAAGCACTTTTTATTGTGAAGCGTTTGGGCAATGTCTGTGTTTTACTAGTTCTCACTCTGCTTGTGCCTGATGCCAGCATTTAAACAGAGTAGATGGCTTTTAGGGTCCTAAGTGTGTACCACGCTGCCTCTGCAAGCAGAGAAGTAATGTACATGTGGCTTAGGAGTGGAGTAAATAAAATTGGTTTGAGATTTTGTCTACAAATGATCTCTTATTAGTTTTACTAAAGAAGATTCAATGGGGATATAAGTGGAAGACTGGGAATGTTGTCTTTGTCCTTGACAACTTTTTCCTAAAGTACAGTAACAGCATTTTAAGAACTCATTTAAGTGAATGGCATGTTTCGGACCATTTTATCTAGAAAAATAATGTTCCTGGAGAAAGTCTGCTCTTCCTTTCCTGTCTGCAAATTGGTGCTGTTTTGTAGTTTACCTTCTATGGGCAGTTCAGATTTTAATAAGAAATTTAGATATAATTTGAGGCAATAGGTGAGTAGTGAACATGAGCGAACAGATTGCAAGCAGGTAGCAAAATATTTATTTGCATGTAGGATGACTACAATAATTTCACATTTTGACTTGAGAGAACAAACTAGCATTTAACAGGAAGTTAGACCACTGTATAAGTATATTCTTTTTCTTTTGAGAGAGAGAGTTTTGGTTCTGATGATGCCTTCATCTTTTCTAAAACAAACAGTACAGGTATATCTGCATTTTCTCTGTTGCTGTTCAGAGAATACAACTGCTGTTCTTACTAAATCGTTTATTTGTTTTAGATGTCTCTGAGAGGCCCAACTCCACTTACAGTTGTTCAGCTTCCTGGAGAACAAGTACAGGTTCAGGGAGTCATTCAGACAGCTCAGTCATCTTCTGTAATCCATTCACCCCAGGTGCAGACAATGCAGGTAACAGAGCACATAACTTGTTATGTATACACATTTGTGAAGAGACTTGAAAGTCTTATCTGAATGAGTTAAACTCAGCCACAGTGCAGCAAGGTGTCACAGCCAGCGACCTATTGATGAACATTCTGGTGCATAAGGGATACCAAGGAAGACAATTTATAAATTCAGGGTCTGAAAACACTTTATTTTTAGGTATACGTTTCTTATTTAATGACTTCTGCACTTTGCAGTGAACACAGGTGTCCTTAGAGTTAAGGTTGAATATCATTTTCCTTTTTTCAGGGTTATATATTTTAAGTCTGTTATCTGCTTCAGCTCAGTGTTGGCTGCAGTGAGCCCTCAGAACATCATCGGCACTGAACTTGCAAATTAAAATGGTCAGAGTGGGCAATAAAATGGCTGGGAGAATCCTGATAAAATGGATTAATCTGCCATCGCGGTGTAATTCTGTAGTATACCGAGTGCTTCTTGCCTCTTCAGTTTCATTCGTCAGATCAGTCCCTGAAAGAGAAATGTACTTGCTTTGCTCAGAACAATTTTAGCATCCAACTTTATGTATGATTGCTACCCATTCAGTGCCAGCACTTCCTGTGGCAATGCACAGCAGTCACCACTGAACCCAAGCCTTCTCCTGTTGTGACTTGTGAACTTTGTGACCTAGTTGAGAGACAAAATGTACGTTAGCAGCTTTCTTTAAATGTTGATAGCAAACCCTCCTCTGCTGACTGTACAGTGACAGTTAACAAAGAGAAATACTTTTCCCCGAGTCTTAGGCACTCTTGCTGAGACAAGTAAAAGATTCGTTAGCTTCTATTTAACAAGGAACATCAGAGGAAAAAAATGACCTTGCCAACAGGAGGAGGATCCAATGCAATAAAAAGAGATCACAGATAAAAACTATTAACAGAATATCAGCTTGAATTGCTCTATAAATATTCTTGCATATTTATTACTTCCTGAGATACTGCTGTTTTAAATGTTCATTTTCCTTGGTTCACTGGAATTATAAGTTCACTGACTGACCAAAGTATGTGATTAGTTGTCCTATAATAAATTTTGTGAATTAGAAGTGCCTTTTGCAGTCCTTCCTCAGGCGATTTGTATAAGGGAGAGTACATAGCCCTTGTTGAAGGGGGCCCAACTCCTAAAATTCACTAACTGCTGCCAGGATTATTGCTTTTGGGCTCTGTTTGGTGAGCAGAATGGGAAATCTTCCTCCAGTGCTGCTGGGGTTCCTGATATAGTTCTTGTTTCACATAGATGCAATTTAGATAAGAGATAAAGATTTTTGTGGGTGATGTCTGCTCTTGGATCAACAGCGTAGTTGGATAGACTTAGAGGAGCTTTTGAATGCAATGCAGTCTTCTTTAGGTATGGTTTTAGATGTTAGATTTGCAACAGGTTTTTGGGGGTTGGTTATGTCTTTATTATTCAGATTTGTTATAAACTGACACAGAAAATATATAGAAATGAAATGCTGCAGTCAAGGAATGTAATATTTTTGTAATGTGTAAGTTTTTTTTTCAAATTATGTAAAAAATGCATAACTAGGCAGGTATTGAAGATTAGTCTATCACATGTAAATCACCTTAAAAAGTAGTCAGGTTTTGAGGAAAAACACTTCTCTTCAGGTTTGTGCACCCATAACATAACCAGAAAGGAACTCAGTTTCTTCTCTCTTTGAACTGGACTACATACCATAGGCCACTCAGCACACTTGCTCTACACATGATGTGAGACAGAAAATAGGCACGTGTATATTTGCCATTTTACTGGTGCTTTTTGGTGGATATTTTTGGTTTTGTAAAATTAAAATATTTAAGCTGTCTTGGCTATTTCTCATGTAGCATATATCACAATAATGTATGGGATGTGTTTTTTTTTAGGTAACTTCTTTGTCAGAGAGTGAGGATTCTCAGGACTCATCAGATAGCATAGGCTCTTCACAGAAAGCCCGAGGCATCCTAGCCCGTCGCCCATCTTACCGGTGAGTACTTCATAAAAATATTTACATTGAAATAATTTGGTTCTTATTTTTTCCCAATAATGCAGAATTTTAAATGAAAGCAGATAGCAAAAACGATTATTTCTAATAGTCCAAGATAAATTCACTGCTGGCAAAGCATGAAAATTCATTGTCTTCTGGGGAGTTGTATTGACTTGCACCAAAAACGAGGTTAAAGTTTTATATATGTGGTTAAGTACATTGCTGAATTGTTTATATAGCCTAGTGAGTGTGAACAGGGCTCTGTCTCTACATCTTGTCTGTTTTTTTGGTATATATAGTAATATATAATCTTTGTGTGGTGTTAGATTTAGTTGGTGCATTTTAATTCTGTGGTGAGTTTGTGTATTCAGAGAGCAAAAAAGAGGGATTAATTTAAAAGAAAAATTGAAGCACCTTGTTTTTTTCATGTTATTCTGGCAACAAAAAATTGCAAACTAATTTTAATTAGATTAGTGCACACACAAACCCATTGTGTTGTGAGAATCCGAATTGGGTTTTATACCAGGAAAGGTTCCAATAGGCAAGTTTGAAATCACTGGAAAATGTTTATGATGGAAATTCCAGTGCAGTCTTTACTGAAGTGATGCAGCTGGACTGCTAGAACAAATCGGGGAAAAATCTGACATCTGCAGGAACGTGTTGTATTTCAGCAAGTCTGGCTGGAAAATGTTGATGAGCCACTTCAAAACATCCAAGCATTGGGCTTACAGCACATCATTTCACTACAGGTTATTAAAATATATTGTAAATATTCATTATGGGGGCTTATCCATTAAAAAACAAAACTCTGGTTTTTTTAGAGGTTAGTAATTCAAAATCTTATTGGCACTTATGGATACAACTGCTTTAAAAAATCAGTGCCTGTATTTAATTATTTTTTGTATCTGTACCGGAAGTAGTTCAAACATTTAGAGGAGAAACTATTAAATATGGAAGAAATTACTTGAAGAGGGCACAAGAGGATACTCCCAAATGAAAAGCCGTCATATTTGTTTCACATTCCTCAAGTTTCTTTTTTCAGACTGTCTGTTTACTGATTACTATTATTACTGAAGTATGATGATATATTTAAATATTGTATCAATGTTATCTTCTAAGAATTAGTGGAAATCTATTGAATATCAGGATTTCTTGACCTAAGAGTGAATACTAACAGATGTAAAGCCAGTGTTTGCCTTGAAGGATAGCAAAGCTTGATGATAATTGAAATATGAAGTCAGTATATCTGTAGGTATAGTCTGAATCTCTTGCTAAAATACCCAGAAACCTCTAATTTCAGACCTGAATCTTTTAAAAAAAAAAAAAAAAATGCAGAAAAGTAGCTGTTTACATTAATTTAGTTGGAAATAAAGACTTGTGAATACTTTGTGATTGGCTAATCCAAAGCAACTGGTAGGCTCCTCTGAATTTGGCTGCAGCCAATGAGCATGTATGTATTTGGTTTGAAATGTACATTAAATTACCATGTCACCCTTTCATTTATAAAGAGTTAATAAATGATTAATACTTGTTATTCATATCTATAATGGAGTTTTTATAAACCCTTTACATGGAATTTTCATATAAAGTATAACTCCATTTGCAAATGTAATCCAGCTGATTCTCATTTGCTCTACTTGAAGAAATGATGCATCTAAACATATAATCAATTTTTGTCTGAGGAGGTAACAAGACATTTACTGATTTGTCACATTACTTCAGCCAGTCATAGGTCAGGAGTTTTCTTCTGTATGTAACAGTGTGCTTTATCAGCTGTGTGCAGCATGTGTCTATAGTAAAGGCGGTGCTGGCTGATCTATCTTCAATTACAGCTGCACTTAGCACAATTTTATAAAAGTGCCAGCAGTAGAGAAGTACTTGTCTGCAACAATTTTTTCATTCCTCTTCAGAGGAGAAATTGCCAACCAGCTTGCAAACTTGAGTTTTCTATCAGTGCTAATGACTTTTTTTCCCATAGAAAAATCTTGAAAGACCTTTCTTCTGAAGACACGCGGGATAGAAAGGGAGATGAAGAAAGTCCTGGTGTCTCCTCTGTTACATCTATGTCTGTTCCTGCACCCATCTATCAGACCAGCACTGGACAGTACAGTATGTTAAATGATATATAAACCTAATAGACACACACTTGTTAAATTTCCTCAAAGTATAATTGTGTGTATGTATGTATATGTGTAATATATTTTTGAGACTAAGTTGAAACAAAAAGGGGATGTGAATGTGAGGGTTAACTATGAATTATAGCTGGGGTGTCAAACCATGAGGCCCCGCAGGCTAGACAGGTGGCACAGGCCTGATCCGCTGGCTGGATCGGGCCCATAGGCTGCCCTCACATGCTAGATCTGGCACCAGCACTATGTGCAGCATGTGCCCCCAACCAACTCCGTGTGCAGCATGTACTGCATGCTGTGTGTGGATCCATTCAGACCCCTAGACCACGCTGTGGGCCATATGATAGAGATCTAGTCCATGGACCTTATTTTTGACACCCCTGGATTACAGGTTTCAGTTGCAATTATTGTACTGGCTAGAGACCCCATTGTGCTAGGTGCTGTTCCTTCGTGCAGACAGACCAACCCTGCATCAGAGCTTGTCTGTTTGGATCATAAGATACTTGTTTGAGAAAAAGGAAGGACTGTTATCTGTTGTACAGATGAGGAAATGAGGCAAAGAGAGATGGAATAATTTGTCCAAGATCATAGAGGAAGTTGATGGAAGAGCCAGGAATTTCACCCTGATTTCTTGACTCTCAAGTTAAATGTCTTAACTGCCAAACTAGCTTTTAATCTCTGCTTAATCACCTCCTTTCTAAAATGATTTGCTGAACTGTTTAGTATTGGTCATAACTGTTTGCTATCGTGCCTTCCATATGCACTCTGGAACTAGAATCCCCTTTGACTTGGTTCTCTACAATGGTGCTCAGGTGATTTTTCTCGTCTTCCATGCAAGTGATGGACCTTCTGGCACAGGACCACTTTAATCGGACCTGTTGCGACTGACAACCCTGAGTGTACTGCTGTTCCAGATATGCCTCCTTTCTTGAAGTCATTCTATTTGGGATGATCCGCAAGATGTTTCCCCAAGCGGCCATCTAAGACCACAGCTGGTCTAAATAAAACAAGACAAAGAATCACAAAAGAAAAGAAAACAGTACTTATACAAGAGATTGCATGTATACATACTTGCCTTGTGCATAATGTAGGCTTACTTCAGCATTATTTACAGCATTGTAACAGACTATTTCCTATGCCTCTAGGAAGCAGTGTATATCTACATTGACTCTCTTGGTCAGATAGTCTGCAAGAGACCTACTTTTCCTCTCTCTACCCCAGGATCTGCCCTTTGGGCAAGGACTTGGCAATTTACATCTTTAGAATCACAAAATGTCAAAGGTGTGAAAGTTGCAGCATCATTTTAGCAGAATGTGGCAAATTTCAGTGGGTCTTAGGCACCAGCTGGAAAATAAAATGGGTGTCCCCCATTTCTGCTGTTGCTTTTCCAGTAGCTCTGGACATGGTCTAAGTTTCTTTTTCCAAATCTGACATTTCAAGGGTCCTGTTGCTCTTGTCTGCCTCTTAGCTAGCATATGAAGTTAAAGTGAAGAATCTTGCTTTACTTGGCAACTATTCCTGGCTAACAGTGACAGAATGTGCCTCTACTTTTATGTTGATTGGCCTTTCATTGAACAATCTCCATACTCAGTACTTCTACTCTACAGGAAGCGTGAACTATCTGTCACGGTACCCTAAGCTTTGAAAATATTTACTTATCAGCCGCTAGTTTGGGTTAGTATTATACCACAACCTTTTTGTTTTGATACCCATGTTAAAAATTAGGAACAAGGGAAGAAATAGTAAAAATATCTGTGCTCAGTTCCCAGAGTTGGGAATGGATTTTCAGAAGAGCTCAGCTCCCATGGTAAACATCTAAATAAATCAGCCTGATTCTTCAAGTATATTTGGCACTTGACAGTTCCCATTGAAAATAGCAGAAAATTTTGCCAGGTACTCAGTTTTTGAAAATCAGGCCCTGTGTCTTTTATCTTTTAGGGGTTAAATGAAAATACAGGCAAATATGTAAGTTTTTTGCATTTATTTTTTTTATAATAAAAATGTCTACATATAATAGTCACATTTGTTGTTTCCACCATCAACCTCTCTTGCTAACCACGTTGTCACTCACCACCGATGTCACAATCTAATTAGTCAACAGGGAGTTTGGATTGTAGCAGAGGGAGGACAGGACTGGAGAGGAGAGAAGGAAGCTCTGCCTCTACTAAGGTGAATTTTCACAGGGTACAAGCTACTAGATATAAATGTATACAAATTAGCCATAGCTTTTGGGGCTCTTGTCCCAGCAATAGTGTACAGTTGGGCACAGCTAATTTAGGGTATGCGTTTGCAGTGAAAGCTGTCTTAAAAGCACTACATTTGGTTGGAAATTTGAGCCCAATATAGATTTGGAAAAACCAGGCCAACATAGATGTCTTTGTCAGTCGGGAAGGACATGCAAAGTTTTTTAATACTACATACCCATATATGTTTGCAGCCCAAACACTGCAGCTCTGTGCTTATATACAAGCTTACCAGTAAAAGCAACTAAAAGTTGTTGATGAGTCTGTTCTTTAATCTTCGTGCTCTATGAAATGCAAACAGCAAACAAGCCACGTGACTGTGAAAAGTAAACCAGGCTATTTAAAGTTATCAGTTTTAATAGTGCAAAAGATGTTAACATCATATTACACTTGGTTTTTTTGTTTGTTTTTTTAATAATTACATAGTATGAATCCAACAGTATCTGTCAAAAAAAAAAAAAAAACGTTTTAAAGTTGGCACAAAATTAGCTTTCAGATCCTGAGGGTAATTGCTTAAGATAGTCTGTTCTGTTGTAAATGGATATTCTTATTGTAGATTCATTGCATTCATATCTTAGAGATACAGAAGAAAAATATATTCTGTATATCTACCATATTTTTCCTCTCACTGAAGTTGCTATTGCCACCAATGGAGCATTACAGCTGGCCAGTCCAGGTACAGATGGTGTACAAGGTCTGCAGACATTAACAATGACAAATGCCAGTGGTACTCAGCCGGGGACAACGATACTACAGTACGCACAGACGTCGGATGGTCAGCAGATACTAGTACCCAGCAACCAGGTGGTAGTGCAGAGTGAGTATGTGTTCTACAAAGGGCTTAGACATACTGCCCCCCCAATCCACGTGTAGTTTTCTAAGCCGCCTACAACGAAATGTCTTGCTCTACTGTTCTAACAGCTGCATCAGGAGATATGCAGACATACCAGATCCGCACTACACCAACAACCACATCCCTCCCTCAGACTGTAGTGATGACCTCTCCTGTCACCCTGACGTCTCAGACAACCAAAACAGATGATCCACAGTTGAAACGAGAGATAAGGCTAATGAAGAACAGGTGTGTAAGTTCCCTTGTACTGCTTTGCAATCGCCTTGCCTAGCTGAAAGTGGATTCTTAACAGCTCTACTGAACCATAACTTCAGGTATCAGGTGCACTGAGGGTACAAAGTCAGCTTGAACATCACACCTCTGCCCGCGAATTATTTTTGCCTGTTATAGTTGACTGACCTCTAAGAGTGCTAAGCAGTGAGGGAAAAATGTTTCCCCTCTTCAGTCTGTTTACGTTACTTAGAAGTACTTTTTGTACTTTAGTGTTCACATAGTTTACATATGTATATAGAGATTTTTTTTTAATTAAGTGGATTTTATATTTACTACATATTTAGTGAAAGCTGTAATATAAGTACTTGCTTTTTATATGTTCGGACTTCTGAATCCCACTTAAGCAAATTTGTATGCATTATTCTTTATCTTCGTTTCTGAAAATGTTAGAAATTGTGACCAAAACATGTTACAAATGTTGTCCCACTGAAGTTGGGGATAAGGCTAAGAACGTTCTTTCCTTTCAAGCCAATCACAATTTCTTTATTTAACCATGAAACGTTAGATTCGGTGCCTGCCTACACGTGTGGTAGCTTCCAGTGGAATAGGTACTCAAAGCAAATTACATTCAATGTAAAATAATTGACCACTTCTGCCTTTGATTTTAGAGAAGCTGCTCGAGAATGCCGCAGGAAGAAGAAAGAATATGTTAAATGCTTGGAAAACAGAGTTGCTGTTCTGGAAAATCAAAACAAAACTCTAATTGAAGAGCTAAAAACTTTGAAAGATCTTTACTGCCATAAGAGTGTATAAGCAAAGGAGGCAAAACTTTTTATGGACTGTCTGAATTTCAGAGGGGAATTTTTTATACCGATTTTTAAAAAACAAAAAAATAAATAAATAAAAAAAGCTACATGAAAGGTCAAAAATTTTAAACTTTTCTACCAGGCTTTCACAACTTAAAGACTGTAAAGATTTTATTTACAAGATGGTGACAAAATACAAAAAAGGAAACAAGAAACCTAACCTAAATTCTTGCTGGTGCAACTGGAAATATCATTACATTCAAGATTATATCTACAATAAAACGACATGCACATTTTTACCTGATGAGTGACTTGAGTTTCCTGAACTAAAAAAAAATCAATTTTGTAACAGCAGCAATATTTTATTACAATTCAAATGTGGGTGAAATGGAATCCTTCCCATTAGCTTACCAAGATTAGCAACATATATAACCAGTATGTTTTAATTTCTTATTGTTTTCTGATCCTTATCTTTTATTTCAGTTATTTGTATGTAAATATTTTTTTATTTCAACCTGTAACTTCTAACTTACAGGTGTAGAAGATAAAAAGAAACTAATACTTTGGTAAAAATATAAGTTATATTTACTTGTCTCAGCTGGCAGTTTGTTTAAAGGGCTTAGGGTTTAAAGGGTTTTAGGGGTTTTTGTTTTATGAAATGTTTGCTGTGTTTCTCAAACGGAGGTTTCACAGAAAGCAATGCAAATTATTTTTCAGGCCTAATCCTGGAAGATGTCCAAGGCACATGAGTATTAAGGTGTTGGCAACTTAAGTGTATTAAACACATCCAGTTACTTTAAACCTAGTTTTTGGTAGAATGGGTACAGCTGAGCCAGAGCTGTTGAAAAATGCTTTTTAAATAGTTGTGTTCTTGATTACTGTGTGAGATAAGCTTCTATAATTGAAAAATAAATTGTGTGCTGATTTATATGTACAACTGAACATGCATTGCTTATTCTGCTTGGAAATCCTACTGTGTTTAGTTGTAAAGTTTACACACCAAAAAAGAACAGTTAAAAAAAAAAAAAAAAAAAAAAGCTAACGATACATACCAAAGGGGTTAATAAGGTTCTAATATAGGGCTTATAAATTTTGAAAAAGAGTGCACAATTACCAAACTTATTTTGTAAGGTAGGCGATATTTTACAAAAAATGGTATCTTTGTAACAAAATAGTCTATTAAACAGTTAGATGGTGGGTATATTTTATAGTTAAACTAAAATCTTTACAAATTCTGAAATTGAATTTATATGCCTATTTTAACAGATTTTACTGTTTATACAGCTCCTTTTAGTAAACAAATAGAATATTTTATGTCTCAGATTTTCAATCATATATTTTTATGGATAGTACAAAGTAAATTTAAATCCTCTAGGGTGGGAAATATTTGAATTACTCTTATATGCATCTCTAGGCAATTTACAAAAATAATAAATCCTAAAAAAATCTTATTGGAAAAAATAGGTTAAGTTTTTTTGGCATACTCAATAAAGCTTTGCATGTGTTTGAACTTAATGCAAAATGCTATCAGGAATTTTGGTATGTATCATTTTTATTGGGTTTTTTTTTTTCAAATGAACAATTAAAGGATATTTAGCGTGATCAGGACTCTTGGGTACAAATAAAACCGTATATAGGCATTGCTTTTGCATGAATGGTAATGCGCTATTTTTTCCATAGTTTTGACTGCATTCAGTTATATGTATTGGAATTGCACAACAGACTGTGTTACTACTAAGAGGCAGTGCTGTGTTTGACTGCGTTGTTCTAGCCCAAACAAGTGGAATTAAAGATTCATTTACTTCCTACATGTGTACTGCTTATATGAGGTCACTCGACATTTGTTTGAGTCGTCAGTCTTATTTTTTTGGGTTTGTTTGTAGTACCTGGCTTCCTAGCCAGCATAGACTGTTTGCAGATAAGTCAGAACTTTGCACTACATGAGCTGTGGTAGTGACTTACATGTTATCTTTATAAACTTCAGCAAATGCAACTGTCATGGGACATAGTTCCCTCTACAGTTCCTAGAAACAAAACGGAGTTCACAAATCATGTACAAAAATCTTGAAGAAGCATTTAAAATGCATTTGTTGCTCAGCACTAGTAAAAACTGCAAGGCTGGCTTTCAGTATTTATGATGGAACGAACCTATGCTAAGAGGTGCAAACTGCCTTATGCTTTCTTTAGGGACAATGGGAGTGTAGGATAACGAGCATTTCTCAGAAGGCATTCAGCACCCTTCTGGCAATCTCTGCCCTTGGAGGTGCACAAAACTTGCATTAACTTGAAAAGGAGACAGGTGTGCATCTGCGAGCAGAGTTTGACTATCAGAATTAATGCTTTACCAAGCTCACTGGTTCTCCTGGATGGTATTTGGATCCTGACTGTTTGCTGTTTTTCTGTTGTTTTTTGTAAAGATCCCTTTATGGCAATTTGTTTTTAAAAAGCTGATAAATCGCAAGGTTGTATTAGCAGCTGATTCTAGCTCCACTTCACCACTGAGCTGAATTGAGGGCTGTTGGTTGAAGTCATGTTGGTTTAAGGACATAAGCAGACAAGGTTCTTTGGGTAGATGTGATATCTTCTGAAGAAGGGTGCCTGTGCCCAGAAGATTGCAAAGAACAATTTTACCAACTATTTAGTTGGTCTAATAAAAGAGATCACATTTACCCAAAGAATCCTGCCTGGCTGCTGTTGAGAAATATGTTAATCCGTTACTATCCCGTTGATGTGGTAATGTTTTAAGAAGCAGGAGCTTAGGCCTTTTTTTTTATTATTATTATTATTATTATTGAAGCAATCATACTGGCTTGTTCTTACAAGTGGTTTTTTTGGTCAGGAGGAAGTTACCTGGCAACATGCATACAATTTGCTTATATCTATATATGTGGTAATAATTACAAAACTGTATCCAGAAAGGAATGTAAATAAACACTGAATACCATTGCTCCATTTCTCTCCAAACATAGGTACATACTTCATATGAACTGTAAATATTTGTTGAAATATAGGTGGCTGCAACTATTGACCTCAGTAATAAAGACCCCAAGATAAAATTCTAATGTTTGTTGTTTATTGAATCAAAATTAATTGCTAGTTAAAAGGAAACTGCTGTCCCAGGTTCAAAATACCCTTAAAATTAAGATAATTTACTTAAGAATTTCTACTACATTCTGGCTATCTGTGTTTGGATTTTTGTGGCTTGTGGAGGAAGGGGCTATAAGTTTTAAATGAATCTTTGCCATTACCTACAGTTAGAAAACACTCTATGCTTTGCTGTTAGTAATCCAGCAGAGGGAGCATGAGCTAGTTTAAAAATCCCTTTTTGCTTGTAAATGCTGACCACACCTGATTACTAGAGCTGGAAAGAGATTGGGTTTTAAGAAAAAAAAAGACCAAAATTATTTCTGATTCCAGTTTATTATTTATATGGTCAGTGTCACATTTTATAGTAGAAAGATTACTGTTCATTTCTCCTTATATTTGTGCTGAACTCAGTGACGGGCAGGAACGGATTGTACAAATCACACACACTTTTAAATAAATATGGTAAGTGTATTTGCCTGAAAAGGAGGGAATGTTCCTTCCTAAATAATTTCTATGCAACTACATTCCCACAGAGTATGAATTTACTGGCATGTTTGGCAGACAAGGTTCCTTGGGTGAATTTGATATCTTTTATTAGACCAACCCAAATGGTTGGAGAATAGTTATTAAGCAAGCTTTCGGGTTCAAAAACCCTTCGTCAGGCTCAGGAAGCTGCAGCAGTTGGTGTGTGCTCTTCTTGGCTGGAATGAAAATATATATATATATCCTTAGACCAACACGGCTACAACCTAAACCCCTGCTGGCATGTTTGGGAATTTTATCTACAGACAAAACTAAATCAGGACTTATCTTGGTGTGAAATGCATTTTATTTCCTAGATGCTAAGATATTGTAATAATAGAACAATAACGTAAATGGTACAATAATACAGAGCAAAGTATAGTTGACCATGTCCCTTCAAGCCTTGAATGGAATGCATTTTGTGATTTGGCCAAAATAATAATTTTCTGCTTTACTTTGACAAAAACTACTGTTTTATGCCTACTTATCAACATAATACATAGCCTTATAATAGACTGGCTTTCATATTTTTAAAGGTGAAGCCCACAGAATATGCTAATATAACTCTATAAAATCTCTACTGCTTATGCTTTGCTTCATTTACTTATGACACACAATGATTAGTAACAATTCAAAAAGAGTAAAAGGCTTCATTATAGGCCATGTATGTATGTGGAATGGATAGATAAAACACCTTGTGCTAATAAAGAAAAAAGCATTTATCCACATTTGTTAATGATAGTTATTTATAAAAAAAAAAAAAAAGAGTAGTTGCCCCACTGGACAACGTTCAAGTGGCAACTTGAGAAGATACTGAAACGTCTATTACAATGAAATAAGAGCATGCTCTTCAGGCAGTCTCTAGTAATATCCACCCTACACATAAGAAGTTCAAGGCCAGCGCAATGCTCATAGCTGTAGATTTGCTGCCCAGCAAAATATGAGTGTTTACCCATCTGTCATACTGAGACATACGCACGTAGATTCCAGGAAGCCTAGGCCGGCCACAGCCAAACCCAAAACTTGTAATCCCTGTCAGGTAGTATTTGCTGGCAGAAGGATCATAGCATGCTAACGGTCCACCGCTGTCTCCCTAAAAAGGAAATAACAAAACAAAACAAAACAAAAAGACCCTCCCCAATTTCAGAATGAAGAAGCAAAGCAATTCTAATCACTTCAGTAATGTATATAGCTTTTATTGATTGAAAAAAACAAAAATTATATCCCGGACACGTGGATGGGCAAGGCAAGCATGCATTTGCTAAAACTGATGTGGTTGGAAGACTGTCTACATTATTTCTTGGAGATTCTCTACTCTTCCTCTGCACAGTGCCAAGGAGCACTGCTGTGAAGCAAGCTATGTCCACTCAGTGTGCACCCAGTACTGAACAAAATCAGACCAAGTGGCTAAGAACAGCCCTCAGCGTGTGCCTTGCCTGCACTCAGGCTCTGATGGGTGTGATTGCTGGCGTGTGCCCAGTAAGGTCCCTGCATTAATAACCTCTTGGCTTGGCTACCACCTTTAGAAGTAGAAAATGGGTCTTACCTGACAACTATCTATACCTCCTGATTCATCACCAGCACAAAGCATATTTGCAGTAATCATCCCTGCATACCAATCAAAACCGTTACAAATATCTGAAGGAATAATATATACTTCAGCTTCTTGTAATATACGTGCGCTTTCACCTGTAAGGGAACATAAAATATGTCGAAGCCAGACCACATTCGCTACTCTGAGTCTAACACTTCTGTGCGCATTTCTTTTCTGCTTTTGGGCTTTACTTTGTCCTCAAGTCTGCAAACACTCAGATGCCTGCTTAACTTTAAGAATGTGAGTAGGAGCAGTGAATTCAACCAGATTAATACTGTCTAAAGTTAAGCTCGCAAACAAGAAGGTATATAACCAGGAGGGAAGGCTTATTTTACACTTCTGCCTTTTTGACTGAAGAAGCTTGCATCATGATAGTATTTAACTTAACATTTCCAAGAAGCCAGGAGGGTTGTCAGCACATCTGATCCTAGCTGTCCTTGGATCTCCTTCCCTTCCACCATGGAAGTGACTAAATGTTGTGGCTGTGCCCACTGCAATTTGTGCAAGAGAGGCCTGTGGAGACCAGCTATCCCACCATGGGTTTATGACAATAAGTAGCCTTAGGAGTCTTACAGTCTTGCTGTGTTTCAGTAAGAACCTTTTTCTAACTGCAACCTTTGGGAAACTGAACCAAAGGTAAAGCAGTTTTCTTGCCAATTATCCCTTGAATAAAGAACACGAGCCATGTTCTGCCCTTAGCTGCACCTCTGAAACCCTAGATGGCTTTCCAGGGATATAACTGAGAGCAGAATTTGGCTTGCATAAACATTTACAGGTGATTAAGGCCCCTGCTACACATTACATATATTACAAAATTAACTGTCCAACTGCACAATAAATTTAGATGGGACACACACAAAGTAATTGTCCTACCATAAAAATCTCTCTCCAGATATAAAGAGCCAATCAGTTACAAAGTGAGTGCTTGAAAATGTGTAACAAATTTAAAGCTGGTTTCTACCCAGCTTTAGTTTGAACACGTGGAAGGGCCCTGAGGATACCAGGCCAGGCTTGACTTGGTGGGGGAAAAAAAATCATCTTTTTATTTGTAAACTAAGACAATCTTTGTGAAGTTCCATGTTTACTATCTTCACATATGTTAAGAGTCCTTTTCAGCGTAGAAGTGCAATGTTAAGTAGTCAACGTTTATGGTAAGCAGAGCTGATACCTCTAAGAACTCTCAAATGATGGTTATAAAAGCTCTTAATTTTTTAATTTCAACTTTATCTCAAAAAGTCGCACCCAATCCTAATGCTATCCAAGCAATAAAGCTTTGATACTTTGTCATAACCTCTTTTTTTATGTGAACAGAGGAGGAGGAGGAAAAGGACCATTATAATTTCTGTAATTAAGAGGAAGATTTTCTTAGTGATAAAGCCAAAAAACCCCAAACATGGCTAGTAACAGCATCTAAGAAAGAAATGCCAAAAAGATTATTTGAAAACAGTACCTTTTTAAGCTCAAAATTAAATCATGTTCTTTGAATGATTTCACTGATAATAAACTGCCATAACCTGAAGCTGATTTCTCTCATCATGTCTTATTAGAAAAAAGAAGCAATTAAAAGCAGCAGATATTTACCTTTCTCAGAAATACTGCCCCAACCAGTTATGAAGCATTGTGTCCGGTTTTCAATATTTACATGAAAGTGAGCAAAGGGCAAGCAGATGGGCTGAATGTAGTCACTGTAGCCTAAAGATTTATCTAGTTTAAATAATGCAATGTCATTTTCAAAAGTCTCCTTCTTGAATTCTGGATGGATAACAATCTCTTCAACACTGCTTTTCACAGTATGTCTCTCAGGTTTAAAAAGGTTATTTACACCAATCATAGCCCTCCACTGGCTTGGGTCCCTAGAAGAGAATTGATTTTTTTTTTCACAACTAAAGTAAATTAATTACTTAAGTGTACATTTAAAAAATGTTTTATTGTTTCATCAACTTTATGTTTGATATTACAATACCACAGTACATATTTGGCACAAATTTACAAGCAATATTAAGGGGATGACCAAATTAAGCACTCAGTTGGGTCAAGTAACTGAACAAATATTGGCATGCTTTTTCATTAAACACAGCAATAGGACCAAAGTCCTTTAGAGGCTGATTTAATTTCCACTGAAGTCAGTGGGAGAACTAAACTATTACTGATGTCAATGCAAGTTGGTCAAAATGTTACATCTTTGGTCTGTTATGGAGAAAGGGTAGTCTGCAAAAGTCTCCAGAGTATGAAGTGCAGATGTATCTTTTGACTGTAACCACAGTTGAATAACACCACTGCTTGCCAAAATAAAACTAAACAGACCAGTAGTTAATACACCAAAGTCACAAGATGAGAATCCTGGAGTTCAGCGAGGTCCTGATACTGTTTAATATACTTGGGTTCATGGTTATGTCAATACATGGCCACAGGAGCATGAGGGTAAAGATGTTATTGCATGATCTACTGTCAATGTGCAAACATTAAAAAAAAACAAAACCAAGAAGAAAACAGTACTATAGGCTGTAGCCATGGATGTTGTTGGTAACTCTCTTTGGAGGGTGCTATTAATATCCTGCAAAAGGTGACAGTTTAGCCCCAAATTGTTGATTTTTGTTGAATAAAAGTCTTACAAAACATAGCAGAATGAAGATGAAAAAGTTGCTGGGATTAGAACTAGAACTAAACCTGCAGTGTTTGCAATCAATCGTTTTGCAACCTGCAGTGAGAACGACTACAGAGCAGGTGTTGATTGTAGCTGTGTAGGTCTAAGGACATAGAGAGACAAGGTTCTTTGGGTAGAGGCGGTATCTTTTTATTAGACCAGCTAAATAGTTGGAAAAATGGCTCTTTGTAAGCTTTCGGGCGCAAGCACCCTTCCTCAGGTGTAGGGA